CTTCCCTGACAGGAAAAGTTTTTCCAGTTGTCCGTCCGTAAACCATTCAAATTTTCGAAAATTGAGAACTTTTTGGTCGAACTTCAGGAAAAGTTTTTCCTTCCGACAGGAAAAGTTTTTCCTTCCGACAGGAAAAGTTTTTCCTTCCGACAGGAAAAGTTTTTCCTTCCAACAGGAAAGTTCTTCCTTCCGACAGGAAAGTTTTCCTTCCGACGGTTAAGCACAAACAGATGTCCACGTCCCACAACCGAGTCCATTTCGCCAAAACCAGAGAACCTAAAGAACCACAACAGTCTCACTCAGAACCTCAGTTCCAGCAAGTCCCTTCCACCAAATCTCACTACCAATTTTCCACCTCAAGGTTGACTATCCTACCACAAGGCTTCCGACCGAAACTACCTCTCTCTCAGCCTATGCCTTACTTCCCCAACCCTTGGATGTTTTCTTGCAAAACCTGCCCCACAATTCCGCAATCTCAATCGAACTAGAGAGGACCAAGAGTTCGAGGAAGGTCTGAACGCTTACGCAAAGAGTATGCTACTACCCCCATGAGGAAGAACAGGCTCTTCACTCTCTTCCCTCAAATCGGACCAGCATTCGACTCGTACCACAGATCTCGGTGTCTGACGCGTGCAATGACTTACCCTCAAGCAGTCGGAGACTGCTTCATCCTACAACCATTTACAGTGGAGCTTCCAAGAAATGCCGCCAATTACGAAGGTCAAGACACCAGCTGGAGACCGCAAAACGAGACGTACTCGCATAGAGCCGTCCAAACTGGTCAAGACAAAGGACTGAGATAGTCACTTCATTCTGCAGCTTGCCCATACAAGTAAAAAAATAAACAATTTACGATTAAACTTTTTATTTCTTTCATTTTCTGAGTTGTTTAGAGTCCTGGTTTCTCTTGTTTAGGAACCTTTTTCGTACTACATTCCAATGGGTCATAGTAATTGCGAATTTTGTTACGCATTCCAGGTTTCGTTGTTTTGAACCTGATGGTATGTATACGCTTTCCATCCTCCTCGGGGAAGTAAAGCTGCTAACATTCTGACAAGTTTTCTTCATCGGTGATCGGAGCTCATAAAAATGTCACTTATTTAACGTTAAGTTTTTAGGCTTTATTTTCCCTTTGTTTACCCTTTGTTTGTCAGGTAGTATTGGAGGTGCAATTTCTCCAAAAATTCCCTTCTCTGTGTTTCGCGGGGGAAAAGCTCTTCAGCATTTTCCAAGGTTACCTGGAGAACCAAAGAACAGTTGTCAAAAGAATACTGCCATGCTGCTCTTCTGAGTTCGTCGGTATTTTGGAAGTGTTGCCATCGAGTCTTCGGACATGAAAAAATGACACTTTTCAGCAAAAATAATGTTTAGGTGAAGGGTGAGATCTCACCTGTTTTTTCACCTTTTTCTCACCTCTTGAATTTTCATGAATTTTCCCCAAATAAAAAATAAAGTTAGTTTTATTTTTATTTTTTTTTTTTATTTTGTTATATAAAAATAAATGTCAACAATCAGAGAACACAACAACTGCTATCGTTCATGAAGCTATAAATGAAGAATACGAGTACATACAATAAAAACAGTTACGTCTTCATTCGTTCAGTCAAAAGACGATATGTACCAAATGCAAAGTATTTTTGACAGCATGTTTTTGCCTCCAGACACTAAAACGCAGACGAACTTGCGATATCAAAAACCAAAAAGCAACCAACAAACGAAAAACTTATGAGCCTTCGAACAATTCCTCACCTAGAAACCGAACATATATTACCGCGCATCAGAACTAACACAAACATTATATAGAAAAACTACAAGTAAAAAAATTTAGACCAAACCTAAACATTAACAGAGGCATAACAATTATAGTAACAATAACAATGATTCATTAGTAAATTGCTGTCTGCGGGCTTCGCCTCGTTATGCATGGCATGTTTACAGACTTCTTGACGAAATTCATAGACAAGAACGTGAAGAGATGGAAAAGAAACTTCAAGCAAAAGATGAAGTCATTGAAGCAAAAGACAAAAACATTCAGAAAAGAATACCACGTTCGGTACCAAAAGGAAAGGAAAAGAACTATAAGTATATGATTTATACTGAAGAGATGGAAAATGAAGAAGATAAAGATATGGTTATGTTGCATTTAGTCAGAAGAAACAACAAAAGCTTTTACGACCTTGCTAAGATTTACAAATCTGACAGAAATTGGTTCTATCGCGAAAACTTACCGATTTCAATGACACCGAATGAAGATGTGAAACAAATAGTTCAAGATACGTTACCTCAAACACACTATGATATGAAAGGTTGTACAATACTTACCTTCAAAGAAGACTTACCGCTACTGAAAGAAAAAATAACAGAGTATTTTGACAACTTCAAACAAGCAGAGTAAATGAACTCTTTATTTTTACGCTTGACTTTTTACAATTTGAACTTTGTTTGCGTAGATATGAATTCTGAAAGAAGTATGAGGGTCTTGTATGACTTTGTACTTCTCCCATAGTTCATGTCTGTCAAACTTACCTGCCATGGACTCTTTCATAAGTTCCATGAAATCGTCTTCGGACAATCCGGGGAAAAGTATAATGTCAGTAAGTATTCTTTTAACATCCTTACTTAAACTCTTTGCTGTCTGTACACAAATGACAACTGAGATGTTAAAGTGTCTGAGCTTCTTAAGAATTCGACACATATCTTGTTCTCTATTCTTAAGCAAAGGATGAGAAGCAAAGTCATCTAAGATAAGAAGACACCTATGAGGGTATGTCTTCCAATCGTAAGATTGCAATTTCTTCGAAATGTATTCTATCTCTTTCTGTTTGTTTCTGAAGTGTTTCTTCTCTAATATTCTCTGCATTTCCTCATTTGGGTCTTTAAACTTAGAATTTATATACTCATTTATAGCATTGTACTTCAAAACTCTTCTTTGGTACTTCTTTATCCAATCTAACAACTCAGTATCCTTTATACATACTAACTTAGACTTCTTTATAATATCTTTGAACGAATTGACGGTTTGGTCAAATTGACCAGAAGTACTACAAATAACAACTAACTCATAGAATGGGTTCTTCTCATCTAGTTCTTGTTGTTGTGCAGCCATTTTAAGATAAGTGAAAGTCTTACCCGACCCAGGTGGTGCAATTAGACCTGTTATACCATTCTGAGCAAATAAGAACTTTCATGTATAGGCTTTATCTGAGCATTTTCTAACTTCCTCTTGTTCTTGTTTAAAACATTCTCAAATTTTTTGTCAATGTCAGCAAACTTTTTTTCTAACATATTTTTAGAAAAATTAAAATTTTTATCTTTTAGAAAATGTCTAGCGATTTCGCTATCTATATTCGAGACAAGCTTTTTCGACAGCAAAACATCTGTCGACCATAAAATCTTACATAGTGTAAACAAGAAAGGTGAATTTGTTCTAAAGTTCTGTTTCTGGGAATATGACAAGAACCATAAAACATTACAAAGAGCAGTCTTAAAATTTGTCAATGACAGACTTGTTGACAGAGATGACGCCGATTGGAAAGATGAAGTCCAACAAAAGTTCTTAGAATGCAAAGAAGACACATGCGCTGTTCTTGAAGATGAAATAGAAAACAGAATAGATGAGCTATTAAAGGACAAAGAACTTTTACATAAATATGGTTCGGAGAAATTTGACATAACTCCACCAGAAAAGAAGAAGAGAGAAAAGAAAGAAGAAAGAGAAGAGAAGAAAGTAGAAGAGAAGAAAGAACCTGAACCAGTTCCAGAGAAAAAGAAATTTGACATGTAAAAATAAAATTTTATTTTTAGAACATTTCTGGGTCAATGTCAATGTTCTCTTCCTCTTTAGGAGCAAACACTGGCTTAGACTCTAAAATCTTTTTACCCAATTTACCTTGAACTTCAACTATCTTAGACTCATAATATTCATAGTCGTCTGTCTTCTTTGGTTCATAAGGTATAACAAGTTTGTATGCTTTGCCTTCTTTAAGGTTTGAGAACCTTCTGTCAAAATTTTCTTTGACTGCTAACAAACCTTCTATGTCTAAGTCTTCAAATTTCGCACCATTTTTAGTCACAATAGCAAACTTAACTGGTTCGATGTTCCAAACTTTGCTGAATGAAGACTTTTCAAAATGGTAGAAGTAAACATTCAAATATGTGAATGGGTCTAGTTCTTCTTTAAGTCCTGACATGTACTTGTTTACTGAAGATATTTTGCCATCTTTTCTATCGGATAAAAAAATTTTTTTTTAAATTTACTCATAAAAATTTTCTTTGTATATACACCATTCTGTACGTCTAAAAGACTTTTGACATTTGCCAAGAATGTTCGTTTAGACGCTGTCATATAACCATATTCTTGACAATATTGTTTATACGAATCGTACAATGACCTTTCATCTAAACACTCAAAGTCAGTTTCATCTATGAACAGTTCATATACACTCTTGTTTGCTTCTAACAATGTTTGTCTCTCTTCGGTATGTGGAATTTGTCTTGGATTGAACTTTGAAATATCTAATGTCAAAAATATGAGAACAAGTGGTTGTAAAAGTCAGATGTCAAAGTTTCTGCTAAGTCGTCAAAATATTCTGTATCTTGCATATGAGAATCTGACGTTCTGACAACTACATATCTTCTGTCAGAACTTTCTAACTTCATCGGAACAACATTGTTTGAAACCATAATGAAGTTTGCAACATTTTCACAAACTCTTTGGTCTTTATACTTTCTTTCAACAACTCCAACTTTGTCTGTTATAAGACTCTTCAAAGCATCTGAGTTCAAAACTTTTGTTGTATCTATACTTTGAAGTTCATTGCAAACTATAAGTTTCATATTCTCTATTGAGGAGTTAAATTTACCGCAGATGTTTTCTAAGTTTGTCATATTCGGGTTCGAATAGCCCTCTAACAGTTTGCAAAATATCTGTAAAGAATGTGTTCTTACCAGTTCCTTGTTTTCCAATTATAATGAGAGCAGTTTCATTTTTAGCACTTGGATGTTGTAAGATGTTTGCAAACCAACATAAGATATACTCATAAACCTTTTCGTTTCCATTGCATATAATTTCTTTGACATGGTCTAACCAAGCTTCTATAATATTTTCTTTCCATTCTACTTGTTCATATTTATATCCAGTGAAGATAGAATAGAAGTTTGGAGAAGGTGTATAGAACTTTATACCTCGAACTGAAAAATCTTCTAACTTTGACAATAAGATATCCCAAGCATCTAACATCTTCATGCCAACTTGTACGACTTTTATTTTCTTAAGTTTCTGTCTACATTCTTGTTCTGAAACTATTGTTGCTCTTGGTTTGTTAAAGACAACATCCCATTCTTTCATAACATAACATTCTGGGGCAGAGTCGACATAAATGACTAAACGTTTCAAATTCTCGACTGCTTTGTTATAGTCTCTAAATGGACACATATTTCTGAATGCTTGGAAGTCATAAAAATCTGAAACATCTATTCTGTACATTTTTATAAAAATAAAAAAAATATTTTTTTTATTCTTGACTTTGTTGTTGCATTTGTTGTTCTTGAGCTATTTGTTGTTGAAGTTGTTCTTGTAATACAATACTTTCACCAGTTGCATCTTCCAATTCGAAACTTTCTGCCGTCATTGACAAATACATAGGACATAAAAGTTTTACAGGAACAAAGTTTGCGTCAACTAATGTCAACGTTATACTTGCCAAAGTGTTTGAGTTCACTAAGGTTGAAAATTCTGCATTCGAATGAACAATAGGCAAACCAGCAGAGAAAGTATTGTTTATACGCATAAGTATCTTTTGGTCATAATAGTTTCTGTCGACATTCGAATAACACTTTGAACCTAAGTTTGAAACAATATATAAGATTGGTGTGCTTAATGTCAATGGAATAGACATTCCTTGTATGACACCTTTTCCTGTTATAGGAAACTGTTGGTAGTAAAAACCAGAAATAAGTTTTGTATTATAGCTCATATTGTTTATAGTAAACTCAGTCGGACATCCAAACATAATGAAACCTGCTCTAGTTGCAGCACATGTTACACCCGTACTTAAAGTATTAAATAAGTCAACAAAACCTGTTGGTGGTATATCTGAGTAAGTATCTTCAAAGGAGTATTTTTTACCATTCACAACAATAAAGTCTTCTGGTGTCAAAAGAGCAAAACAGGCTTTAGTCGTCATTGTGTTTAAGGTTAGTTTACAATATCGTCCTTGAGGACTTTGTAAGTTTGTTGTTATAGAATTATATGACTCAGGGTTTTTAGTCGTAATAGTATAAACCATTATATCTTCTGCCATTTATATATATTTAAAAGTTTTTCTGAAAGTGGAGAAGAACTTCATCTAAACTTTCACATGGCGTTTCTTGAAGTTCTCTGTCTAAGAAGTTCAAATATTTTGTAAAGACATAGAACTTTCCTTTGTCTACACGAACAAACAAAACAGGGTCTTTCATATCGTTCAAAAGTGTGTAAAGTCCTTTACATGAAATAAAGTCTATATTATTTTTCTTCAAACATCTTTCAAGAAGTTTTGACATTTTTACTTAGCAAATAAATTTTAATGAAATGTTGTGGTCGTCAAATATTTTTATGACGTCTGGGAAACTATACTTTAAGTTCAACGTTTCACCTCCTTTCATAACGTATATCTTGTCAATGACATTATATGAAACACCACAGCAACTAATGTCGGGTTCTATTTCTTTGATGTTTATATCGTCTGCCTCTGTCAAAAGTTTCAATAGTTCTTTCAAAACTTCATGAGGTGCAATGACATATGAGTTCACTTTTACAGGGTTGTGTTCGACCAAGTTTAACATTATACTTAAAGCTTGACAAATCTTCTCCTGAGTTTGAAGTTTGTCTTTCAGTTGTTGGTAGTCGTTTCGAATATCTGCAACAGAACTTAAGTCTCTGCTAACTTCAGGATATGTTGGTTGTTCTTTTACAGGAACAATTGTTATACCATCTTCGTCTTCGTATGGTTTCCCCACTTCAACATCTCTGTCTTTGACATTGACAACAACACTTTGACTGTTTGTTTGAGTTGGTGAATTTAACTTCACATCTGCCACCGCCATTAAACCTTTTGAAACACTTACGCTTCTATTTTTCGGAAATGACATTTTACTTAGAATAAAAAGATGGACGTATTCGAGTATCTCTTCGAATTGAAGCAGAACAAAGTTTACACACACAAACAATACAAATACATTGACAGAATAGTTCTTTATACAAACAATGGAAATGTTATAGAATAGCAATATTTGCTGAACCAAAATATTTTCATAAAGCAAAGAAAGTTGGTATAACTGAAATGGTGAAAGTTCTTGACGTTGACAAAAATATAACAACAAAACTTACAGATATTTCTAAAGGTAAGTTTATCTTACAATATTATGTCAAAACTGGCGTACTGTCAATATTTGACGGAGAGAAGTCAGTTCAAGAACAACTTACTGACCTGCTGCCAAAATCTGCTCGATGGAAGCTGTCGTTATGCCAATCTGAGGAGCCCCAGCAGGTTTCATCGAACGAATCTTCAAAAGAGCATCTTCCGTGAAAAGTGCTATTGGTTTTGTAAACTTCTTTGCTTCAATTCATCTGGACCGTCTCTGTCACCAGTATATTGTATTTGTACAGTACCAACAGTTGAAATACCACCCATAAAGTCTTCTGAGTCAGCAAATGGAATGCCAAGCCAAAAGTTTGAACGGTCTCCATTTGTATATTGAGTTTTTTGACCTCCTGTATGAGTCCATACTTTCACATATGGCATAATAGAACTTTGCATTTCAGGGTTAATGGTTGTTGTGAAGTTGTTGTTAAAGTTCATAGCATCTAATGTCAAGTTGTATGACCTCATATCCTCAACTGTAGAATATTCTTCTCTTGGATAATATTTGCCATCTATGTTTATATGATATTTAATACCGGGGTTGTAGAAACAAGAATAGTCATTTATAGTTCGTCTGAACAGTACAAACATAGTATCTGCATGTTTCATTGCAGTTGTTAAAGCAATATCTGTTCTTGCACCTGGGTCAGCACTTTGGTTTCCAACTTCACCTGCAAAGTCTTTGACAGATATTTGGTGTATAGGGAACATAAGTGGAACTGCAATATATTTGGCAGCTAAAGCATTTGAAATATCTGGGTCCAACATATAGACTGCAAGTCTGCTTTCTATTCTCTTGCATTCAAATTTTTCGCATGTGAACTTAACTGGGTCCCAAGCAGTTCCAGCAGCATTGAAATAATAGTTTACTTCATTGTTGAAGTTTGAGAAACCAAAGTCTAAGTCAACTTTGTCTTTGCAAAATTCGGCGAATGACGTTTGATTTGTTCCCTTTACGTCTGTAATAGTGAATGGGTCTTGTGTTGGTGCAATGACTAAGTTATTTTTGCTTGGAGTAAGTTCGATAGAAATTTTTCCTGCCCAGTTTGGCAAGTATCTTAAAAACCTGAAGATGAGGAAAGATGACAAAGGAACTCTAAGTTTCAGTTTTACTTTAGTGGCAGCATTTCCATCTGAACCAGAAAGGTTAACATAAACTCCTGGAACGTTAGGGTCAAGTCTTCTTATTTTCTCAATATTTGCATACTGGTCTGTTTGTTCTCTAGCTTGTGGTTGTACTGAGTTTCTCAAAGCGAACCATTCATAGTTTGCCCATGTTACTGTTTGAACTAAGTCAGAGTTAGAATATATCTTATATCCCATGAAAACTTCTGGAGCATATTGGTATCCGACATAGAAAATTCCATTGCAACCTTTCTTGTCAGACAACTTGGCAGAAGGTTTTATTTCAATGTCTTGTTCCACGTATAAGAATGAGTTGTCAATAGAAATAATATGAAACCTGTCGCAAGCAATATCTACTGTTGTTGAAGAACCTTCTCCAAACTCACCTACGTTTCCATAAGAAACAGCAGTTGTATATTCGTAAGTTCCAGGAACTATTTCTGACCTTCTAATGGCATTGTCGCATTCGTTATACCATTCGGAAACATTTCCGTTCATGGCATCCAAAACTGTTGGCGTTATATTCTGAGCGGCGTACATTTCATATGGGTAAAAATATAGAATAGTTGGATTTATATGTCATAATAGAACCCACTCGGACCAAGCTTTACTTTCTTCCTGACTGAGTTTTTAACTCTTCTTTTTCCTTCATTGCCACTACTTTCACTAGATGAAGTTACTTCTTCACTACTTTCACTTTGTTCTACTCTTCTTTTTGGTGTCGCTTTTGGTAACTTGCCCTCTGCTTCAAGTTGTTGCATCTTTGCCTCATGTTCACCTAGTATGTTGTAAATTTCCCATGTCCTTTTTGCCTTTGGGCTCTGGTCGCCCATCTCAGGTAACCTATATCCTAGAAAGATTTTGTCATAGTTTGTATTTGAGTCTTCGCGTATTGTTTGCATGACTCTTTCCTGAGTTTCCGGTTCAAGCTCTTCAAACAGAGCTTGTCCATATGGAATAAGCTCGTTTCCAAATATATGTTTTTGTAGCCATTCTGGTTTTCTTTCCATGTTACCAATAATATCTTTTGTGAATGGGAAAGCTTTTACCCAATGTTTCAGTCTTGCGTCATTTATTTCTGTAGTTGGTTTTATTTTGTCAAGGAACATGTTTTTCAATACTAACATTTCATTTGGTACTGTCCATTTGAGTTTTCTTAAATATTCATCCCTTCTCAGTTCATTGTCTGCAAAGTAAGTTTTTATGACATTTTGCAAACTTTCGTTTGCAAGGTCATGTACAATAGGTTCTCTTCCTTCTCTCTCCCTAACTTTCTTTCTAAACTCTTCACCAAATATACCATCTCTATGGTTCTGTGTAGTTCTTTGAGATAAATGTTCTAGAACGTCAGGTGTTATATTTCCATCAGCCATGTTCATTTCATACTGGTCCAAAATATCTGCATCTTTCATATCTTTCAATGGCATTAAAGCCGCGCTGAAAATACCAGCTATATCTGGTTCACCATTCACTTCCATTGCGTCTACAACTTCTTGGAATTGTGGTTGTAAGTTTATGAACCACCTATCCGGATTAGCTTTATGACCCCATCTCATTGTAGTTCCATAGTCTGCAGAAACAAAAGTAGGTTTGTTTCCATATTGGTTAGGTTCTGAATGAACTTTAAACAATGTTTCATTTCTATATGTTTTGTTGAAATTTAACCTTTTATTTTCACCGAGTTCAGCCAAAGATTGAACGTTATATGGTCGTAAGTAAAAAGGATTGTTGTATTTGCGTACATTTCTTTCAGTTCTTCCATTCTATGCTGAATATTTTCATCTGATGTTGGAGTCTTTTGTATGTCGGCGAACATTTTTCGATATTCTTCTACTATGTCAGCTGAATTTTTCTTAGACTCTTGGAAAGATTCCATATTCTCCGCATACTCTTGTTGAGGGTCAAGATTTTTCGGCTGTTCCAAATCTTCATCTAGTTCTGTGAAGTTAGTTTCCAAAGGAGGGACTTGTTCGTTTCCTTCAGGCTCTTCTAGCTGTTGTTGCTGAACTATTTCTTCCATGTCTGGTTGTATCTGAACTTCTTCCTGTGGAGTTTCTTGTACCTCATCTGCTGGCATTCATATATTCCGAGACCGTTTTTAACAAGTTCCCTATTTAAGCCATCCGCATTCATAACCCTTTCTTCTTTCGTTCCGTCTCTATTTTTTACGCGTTTCATGAAGATAGTTGAATTATCATTTATCTCTGACACCAAATATCTCGGAGTAAATTCATCATGTCATTTGGATGATATGCTATTAAATCATATCCCTTAGCGAGCTTGTATTTTCCAGGTTTGAAATTATATCCCATTTGGTGCTGAACCATAAAGCTAAATAGGTTCGGGTCAGTATTTCCTTCCTTGAACTTTCTAATAGCTTCTTTATATCTGTCACTAAAGTCAAGAGTATCTGGGTAACCATAGTCTTCCTTAAGCATTTTAAGAATTCTTGTTTCCTTGTTCTCTACTTCTTTTATGTCCTTGCTCTGTTTGTGGTTGTTGTTGTGCAGGGTTTTGAACTGTTGGTTGTGTGCAGTGTTTTGAACTGTTGGTTGTGGTGCAGTGTTTTGAACTGTTGGTTGTGTGTGCAGTGTTTGAACTGTTGGTTGTTGTGTTGGTTTTGGTGCATGCCTGTGTCTGTGTCCATGTGACGATGTAAATGTTTTAGGTAGTCCTGGTGCAGGTGCTTCTCTTGGAGGGTTTGGTGGTATATAAGTTCCACTAGCTAGTATATAAGTTCCACCAGCTGGTATATAAGTTCCACCAGCTGGCACATATGTTCCATCTGCAGCATAATGTCCTACCTGACTTTTCGTTTTTAAGAAAGCATTTACTAGGTCTGTTTTGGTCTGTTGTAACTCTTTTTCTTGACTTTCCACAACAGTTGCTCTAACGGCGTCATAGGCACTTTGAACTGCCTGTCTCGTTGCTGCATCTGTTATTTTCGTCATATTTTGTGCTACTTCTCTTAACTCTTTGTCGAAACCTTCAGACTTCAGTTTCTTTCCAGATGAGAAGTCGTTCACTAGTTTCACCTTACTATGAAGAGCTTCGAAGGCGTTCTTAAAGTCAGCATTCATTAAAGCTTCATTTGAACTGTCTTCATCCGCTTGTATTTTTGTCCTTATTGACCCTATAAGTTGGGCTGCTTTAGCGTTGGCTTGGGCATCTAACCAGTCATTGTTAGCTTTTATATATTCTGCGCTTTTCATTGCCTTTTGCATGGCTGCGTCGTTATTTTTACTTTCTTGTGCTAAGTTTTCATACTGTACGGTTTGGTTTTGCAACTGTAAAAGTTTTTCTGCCTTTACATTTGCTTCAACTTCTTTTTTATACTCATCGCTATCCATATATGTCTTCAGGGCTTTTTGTTTTTATCTTCTTCATCTTTCAGTACTTTATATTGAGTAGTATGGTTTTTCAAATTTATAACATCTTGTTCCATTTTTGCTACTTCTGCTGCTTTTTCTGACACTTTTTTCGCATATTCCTCTGTACTTAGTTCTTTCAGTTGTTCTTCTTTCTTCTTTTTCTCTACGTTTAACTCATTGAGTTTCTTTGTGTGTCTGTCATATTCTAGTTTCTTTTCGTTTTCACTTATTTGTTTCTGTATGTCTATGTTTGACTTTTTGACATCTGTTATTTGATTTTTGAGTGAACTCAAATTCATTTGACTTTGAGGGTTATAAGCTGTTCCGTCTGCAGCTCCACCATAGCCTGCCATTTTCGCTAAAAGTGCCGCTCTTAAACCTCCACTCTGTGCACCAATAACTCGGTTTAAAAGCATAGGGTTTGCTTGACATTTGTTGCAACATAGTGGGGTCATTCATCATTGTTGTTGCAACTGTTGTTGTGGTGTCAGTTTTACTATTGGATGTTTCAATGCTCCCTTCCTCTTACGTATATTCTTACGTAGCTTACGTGGCATTTTAAGTGAAGTAAAAAACGGTTTTTGACAGATGTTTATATGACACTTTTTGTTCAGCACAAAAAACTACTCGGTCAAAGTGTTGTCAGTTTTGTAAAATAACCGTCCTATCTCATTCTATAAGGGGAAAAAGGCTTCTCAAAGTATACTTCCTTGGAACGCCGGTAACTTTTCCTGTAGCGACGATAGACCCTTACTTGTCCGGACAAAGTTATACTATTTTGAGTGCTCTACAAAAAAGTCAACGGCAACGACTCTCAAAAACCGTTGTGTAAAAAGTTTTACCGTTGGACAAAAAAGTATATATAGAAAACAAAAAACGTTTATAGTTCATTCAATATTTGAGATGGAACGGTTTTCCAACGGTAACTATTAAATAAAATAAAAAAATAGAGGGGGTTACCGTTGACGAAAACGGTTTTTTTAAACTTTTCTATGAGTAGTCCGAAAAAAACAGTTCATTTTTCATAATGGAAGGAAGAAAAAATGTCGCAAACAATTCGTCGACTACCTCTGCAGTTAAAGTTCCTACAACTTATGTCTCACCATTCTCAAAACCCTTACGACCTCCTATAATACCAAAGCAACTTCCTCATACAATTGCAAACAATTCGTCGACTACCTCTGCAGTTAAAGTTCCTACAACTTATGTCTCACCATTCTCAAAACCCTTACGACCTCCTATAATACCAAAGCAACTTCCTCATACAATTGCAAACAATTCGTCGACTACCTCTGCAGTTAAAGTTCCTACAACTTATGTCTCACCATTCTCAAAACCCTTACGACCTCCTATAATACCAAAGCAACTTCCTCATACAATTGCAAACAAATTGTCCAACAATTTGAGTTCTTCTTCTCAAAACACAACAGATACAGTTGTCCAAACAGCACCAGAACAAGTTTCACATAGTTCTACAATTCAAGACAAATTGTCCAACAATTTGAGTTCTTCTTCTTCTCAAAACACAACAGAAACATCTGAAACAGATTTACAACCAGCACCAGAACAAGTTTCACATAGTTCTACAAGTATGTTAACAAGAGCACAATTTCAAGATTTAATTTCTCTTGAACAATATTCGAGTAACGAAACACAAAGCGACGACTGTAACCTCTCGCTACCCGAATCCATTCAAAGAAAATACGCCATGAAAAGACTGAAATTGTTGTATAAACTTCTTAACAATTGGGGAGTCGAAGACAACTCAGATTATAGTGAAATGTTTAACAAAGTCATAGAATCTGTTAAACCAATTGAAAACGACATAAAAAATCCCGGTGTTCTTGTAGACCTTTTCGCCTCAAAATTACCAGTTACAACCAATCTAATAGCAACACAAGCTATAGAGCAATTTATTTTATGTTTTCCCAAGCAATATAGACAACACCTGAGGGAAACAAGAATAGGAAAATTTCAATTGGTGTATCCTACAACATACAACTATTACGAAGAAGCAAATGAATATGGAGAACTCTCATTCCATTTCACACTTTCAGTTCCTGAGGGGAAGAAAAAGCAATCTATCATGTACAATCTCTTGCAGGATGTGAAGGAAAACCCACATAATAACTACTGTTGCAATTGACAAACCTGCAAGAGTCGAAGACGATGTTTTGTTCGCGTCCATTGCTGGTTTTGGCATGGGAGAACCAATTCCAATTTCCCATTTCACAGAATACTCAGCACAACATTTTCAAAATGTAGAATTCGTGTTCTACGACCATCAAAAGTTCCTGCTAACAAAGCCAAAGAAACAATTTGTCTCAATATTTGTTGCTGGTCATGTGGCTGACAAAGAGCCATCAGATACTGACTATGAAGAAGAGGAGGAGGAAGAAGAAAACGATAGCGATGTCGTTCTTATCGAATAAAAACTTTAATTTCTTACTATATAATTTTTTAGTTCTCCTCTAGGTTTTTTAGGGGCTAGAAGGGGCGCAGCCCCTGGAAGCCCCACTCCTTTTTTTTTTTTTTTTTTTTTTTTTATGTTAATTATATAATAATATGTATTATTATAAAAAAGAAAAAATAAAGCACGTTAAAATTTTTCTTTCTTGATTTTTTACAAAATCTACTTAGAATTATGCAAAATATGACTAAATAATTATAAATTTCAAGTTAAATTTTAATTTTGATAAATAATTTAAATTTCAAAATATCAAGTTCAGTTCGACTATGTATGTAGTAATTCTGTTGCATGCTAAGTTCGGTCAAAATGTAAACCTCTCAATTTTATCGTCGGGGGAAGTAACTCAATTCCTTCAAAATTATTCTTTAAATGTTGAATTTAAAGTTATTTAATTTGGATTATAAATAAATAGGCTAATACAATATTTAAAAATGAGAAAAAATAACTTTTCAAAGAACTTTTCATAATCTCAAAGAAAATTTTTTATTCAATAATTATATAAATTAATTAACATTCATAATGAAATTGGATTTTTTTTATAAAAAATTGGTCCTACTTAACTTTTTGAGAGAATTTGGCTTTCTCGTAAACGAAAAAGGGGATTTGACGGAGTCAAATCCCCTCACAAAAAGTGGACTTTACATGTCAAATTTTATATGCATGTAATGTCCACTTTTATGAGTTTTAGGAAGGAATTGGAAGCCATGAGTTACTGACATTGCATCAGTATCTCATAGCCTCCAATTCCTTCAAAAAATGGGAGAAACTTTGTCCGAATAGTTTAACATTCGGACAAAGTTTCTCCCATTTTAAGAAGGAATTGGAGGGTAAGAGATATACCATATGAATGTATATCTCTTACCCTCCAATTCCTTCTAGAAAGTGTCCAAACTTTGGGTTAATTGCAAAGTATTAACCCAAAGTTTGGACACTTTCAAGTGGAGATGGAAGGCTTTGGGGTATATATTAATACAATATACCTCAAAGCCTTCCATCTCCACTACAAATGTGAGAAACTTTGTCCGAATAGTTTAACATTCGGACAAAGTTTCTCCCATCTTTCAATGTAATTGCTACCTGTGAGGTACTGACTTGAAGTCAGTGCTTCACAGTAGCAATATCCAAAAATTTAAAAACATTTTATCAGTTCGTTAGAGAACTAGAGCCTCCTAGGTACTGAACCAGAATCAGTGCCTAGGGGACTCTAGTGATCTATATAAATCTGAGAAACTTTGAGGAAATTGTTCGACATTTCCTCAAAGTTTCTCAGCAATTTAGCGAGGAATGTTCGTTATCGTGTAGATATTTATAATATATACATGATAACAAACATTCCCCGCTAAAAGATGTAAAATCTTATAAGAAATAATTGCAAAAGAATAACAAATTGCAACAAATTTTATATGAAACTGAACCTTATGAGGTAGTGATTCAAGATCACCGCCTCATAAGATTCAGTTTCAATCTCAAGTATCTCAAAAGTAAGGCTCTATTTTTTGCCATGTAAAGTGTCACTTTTTCTGTCCAAATGATAAGTTATTCAGAGAAGTTTCCCAGCTATCAAGAGGGAATTGTTCCTTATGAGGTATATATTCATACTGTATACCTCATAAGGAACAATTCCCTCCTTAAAACGAGAAAACTTGTTCGAAATTGTTTATCATTTCGAACAAGTTTTCTCGTTTTTAATAAGAAACTAAAGGCTATGAGGCACTGATTATATATTAGTGCCTCACAGCCTTTAGTTTCTAATAGATAGCTGGGAAACTTTCTCCAAATGATAAGTTATTCAGAGAAAGTTTCCCACTATCAAGAGGGAATTGTTCCTTATGAGGTATATAGTTATAATGTATACCTCATAAGGAACAATTCCCTCATTAAAATCGTAGATATTTTTTACTTATTACTCATGCTTTCAAAATCACAATCCTCTGAAAAGTTATTTTTTATTAAGAATTTAGAATTTTGATAAATACCTTTTTTAAATTTGATATAATACTTATATATTTTCAAAAAGACATTTTGAAAAGATATCTCAAAAGTTCTCTGAAAACCTATTTTTGATTAATTTTGAGAAATATCCGTATTAAATTAATCAATAAATTCATTCAACACTACTTTAATTTTTAAATTCAAAAAATTATATGTGCTTCTTAAAATGTCTCACAAAAATTTTATTATAAAATTATATACAATATTAAAAATCCCACAACATTTTTTACTTTACATAATCGTACTTCCTCGACGATTAATTTTCCCTCAATTCCTATCGTTGACCGAACTTAGCATGCAACAATTCCTCAATAAAGTGCCAAAACCCTATTAAAATATATGAACATTTTCAACATTTTAATGTTTTTATTTAAAAATTTGATGGAATATGAGCTTCAAACAATTATTATGTAAATAAAAATAATTAAATATATGTATTTATTCGTATTACAACCGTAGTAAGTCGATTCTTCCTTTCTTCTACTGAGTTTTGAATTTGATTTCGAATTGTAAAGAGATTCAAAGGGAAAATACTAGCGGATAAAAACTACCTCCATGAAAGGGTCATAATGGAGTCAAGTTGTATTTTTTGATATTTTTTTGCTTTTCGAGCCTAAATAGGTAGCCAAGATAATGCCTAAAAATAAGGTTCTAAATTCTGAAGTTTACATGATCCTCTCGTGTGCACCCTTAACATATTACAAAATATCATCGGAATAACAATAGTTTTTTTTGTCAAAGTTTTCTTCTTTTTGTTTCAACAAACTTCTATTATAATATTGAACTCTTTATTCAACTTATCAGTCGATTTACACTTAGAGTTATTACAATCGAATTCGACGATTCAGAAGAATATCAATAAATTTGCTTTTGTTTGAACTTTTCATCATGTCTATAGGAAGTAGAGAAAAATTGCAAATGTAAATACATGCAAACATATATCAGAATTATTTACTAAATAGACTTTTACATTTCTCTTTTCTGAATTTGAAAATATTCGAAAAATACTTATTTTTTCAATTTCGAATAATAAATAAGAAAAGATCATATTCAAGATCGGAAAATTTTCTGTTCATAAGATAGTTGCCTTCATTTTGACTCAATAATGAATTATATTTTCATAACAAGTACATGCAAATTATATATCGAATATCAACAACTGTATTACAAACTCTTGTATTTCTCTTCCATTAATTGCTAATGCATTATCAAGTCTACATCTAACATCATATAAATATATATATAAATACTTATTTGCAGTTTTGTTCTATATAATATATAGGGTTGTACAAACTGGCACAATTTTGCGGGCCGCCTGCCAGGAGCTGGCACGCGGCCAAAATCAAAAAAGTGGCCAAAAATCGGGCCTCGTGGCGTGGAAAGGGTGGAGCCCGAAGGGCGACATCCTTTCCACGCCACTCGGCCTATGACCACAATTATATAATATGCTCATTATTATTTTTTCTTCTTTTCTCTTCTTTTTTCTTCTTTTTCTTCTTTTTTCTTCTTTTTCCCTTTTCCCTTCCTTTTTTTCTAGTTTTGGAAAGGAAAAAGTAAAAAATTAATAATTAATTATTACTATGAAAATATACTTTTTAGCTTATATTGTAAGCTGTGAGAGTTTTAAGTGATGGAAGATATAAATCAAATTTGAAATTCAACAAATCTTGTTATGATTAAGTTGAATATTGTACTCTAATTAAGAGTTTTCAGTTATGAACTCAGGTATTATATAATAAAAGTATAACTCAAGATAATAAAGAGGTTTTTAAAATGTAGATCTGAAAATCAAACTACCATGTTTGATATGATTAAGTTGAATAATGTTATTTTATTAAATGGTTCAAATCTGTGAAATCGGCAATTACAAATTAAAGCGTAGTTCAAAAAATTAAAGAGATTTTAAAAATTTAATATCAGAATTAAACTAAAAAAAGGATTTAGTTATTTCAGTAATTATCAGAAAAGGTTAAAAAGATAGGGTAAGTAATGAGACTTGAGTGAGATGTGAGAAATCATATGTAAATAATTAGATATCTGATGAGTAAGGTAGTAATGAGAGTTAAGATCTGGTTAGTAAGGTAGTAATGAGAGTTAAGATCTGGTTAGTAAGGTAGTAATGAGAGTTAAGATCTGGTTAGTAAGGTAGTAATGAGAGTTAAGATCTGGTTAGTAAGGTAGTAATGAGAGTTAAGATCTGGTTAGTAAGGTAGTAATGAGAGTTAAGATCTGGTTAGTAAGGTAGTAATGAGAGTTAAGATCTGGTTAGTAAGGTAGTAATGAGAGTTAAGATCTGGTTAGTAAGGTAGTAATGAGAGTTAAGATCTGGTTAGTAAGGTAGTAATGAGAGTTAAGATCTGGTTAGTAGTAAGGTA